AGAACAAAATTCACATGCATTGTGACATACAGACACCAGTAGTTCTGGAATAGAGTTTCTGTAACACTACAGTAAAATGTAGTGTGATTTTGCTGGTTTTATATTATCTAGCTACTTGATGTGAATTAATGATTATCTTTGAGGGGGAAAAAATGGTGATGCATAACGTTTATTAGAGCAAGCTCTACCTTTAGGACAGGGTTTAAATTAATAGCTGTTGAAGGTTTCTTGTGTTCTCAATAGGTTAATTTTCTCCATCTTGTTCTTTCAAACTAGGAGCCATGTCACAACTATTTAATAAATGTGCCAATGTGTCAAAGTCGTTTTTCAGAGATGAGTGGAAATGGAAATGAAGTCAATGGGGTTACATCAGCAGTGAATTTGTCTCCAGGCAATAGCAGGGAAATATTTCCGGAAGTGGAACCTTATCTGTGGTGATTTTGCTCCTCTTAAATGTGCTGGTTTGCTCTGAATCTTTCTTAGCAGAGCTATCAGTTTGATCCTATGAAGGAAAAAGTTTCCTGAATTAAGAAACAAAAGCACGTACTAAGGTGCTAATGAGATTTTATCATGGGAAGGATGTTAACTCTACATTGTTGAAATGTTTAGGAAGCAAACATTATCATCTTTTAGTGAAAGAATTAGTGTACTGTGATGGATAAATCCTGCTCTCAATATAAAAGTGGTAGAAGTCCCGCCTTATAACTTTATAGTGTCAGAAAAATGTTGTCCAAAGCACTTGCAGGACACCCCCTTTCCTGTGATGCTGCCCCCAAATTATGGCTCTGTAGTCTTTTTGCCTTCCTTTATGAGTGAAATTGAACAAATAAATATGATTTCTTTTTTCCCTGTCAAGCTGGTTATGTTTAATCGTATTATATAAATCCTCTTTAAAGGCATCAAATCACTTTGGGGTCTTGTAATGTGTAATTTTGCTCAAATAAAAAATCAGGTTTTTGTGGATAAATCTGTTCTGTATGAACCGTAATGAAAATTAATAATGCTGTTTGTTTTAAATATCATTCTCATGCACATCCTCCTCTCTTCCTAGGACCCTCATCAGTTCTCACTTCTTCAGCTCAGGGAGGCTTCTTAAGCTGCAAGCTGAATTCCCCAGCCTTCCTACTAGTAGTGTTACATGAAACTTTGCTGACATTACAAGGCTAATTTCCATTACACATTTCAGTCTGCTTTTAGAAGAGGTTTTTAACATTGAAAAAGTAACTCTAATGGCACATGCTCTGAAGGTTGTAACATGCACTAATGCAAAAGTCAAGGATCGCATGTTTTGTCAGCTGTGTTGGGCTGATGTGGCAGTAGCTGTGATTTCATTTGCATTACTTGATATTTACACCACTCCAAAATAGGGGAGGATTTCTTCTATAGCTAATGCTGGACAACATGAGTCTTCTTTCCTTCATGCCTGTCATAAAGCAGGGGGAACATAACTGAGATAAGAGAAGTTAACTAATAAGTGATTTATTTTTTTTCCTGTGACTGTAGTACTTGTATTTTGTTGACTGATTTTATGTATGAGTTTAGAAAACACATTTAGAATGCAAGCAAGTTACTGTGGAATGTTTTCTGCTGTATAAAGAATAGTACTCAACTTTTAACTTTCATGACTTAACTCTATATTAAAGCAAGTTTACTGCTTTTTCAATATAATTTCATATGGTTGGAATTAAATTAATGGCACAATTTCTTATGGCTAAGGCAGGGTTTTTTCTCATCCCAGATATATTTTCAGATCTCTAGCAAAGAGTTCAAAGTAATAAAACCACAGAAAATATGTTAACAGTTACACTTGTTAACAGATTTGATGATCATGTAAACAGCAGCTTAGATTGACTCCATAGCCCAGCCACTTCCATCTTCTTCCAGCTGGTGTGCTCCCTTGTTCTGGTGAACCTCTGAAGGTCAGTTTGAGCTGTGGTGCCAGTCTCTGCAGTCAGCTGCTTCAGCTGCATGTGTGAGCAGCTCTGTTGGAGGTGGCAGTTCTGGCTTCTGCTGCACCTCAGGGACAGGGCAGGGAGGAGGAAGCGGGTCTCCTTCACAGGCAGCACCTGGCAGAACTAGGGGCCTGGCATTGTCATTACAGGTTCTGATCAGGATGTATGCAAACCGGATACCAGCTTGCACAGCTGCCACAGCTGCTATACACTGACTAGATTATAGGTCTGCAAAATGTGCGCTGTGAGCCTTCCAGCACTTTCTATCCAAAGGCTAAATTTGATGCAGTTCTGAGAAACAAAACCAAAACCACTCAGAATATATTTTAGTTTAAATATGGAACTGTTAAGAATTGAATAGTATTATTGACCTGGAATTACTACAGCCGCTCAGAATAAGGGGTGCTGTACTGACCCACTGTAACACATCTATAAAATGTGTGGTTTAGTGTTTTGATGTGTCTAGTTCTGATTTGATCTTCTTATGCCTGACTTAAGAGTGTGCACCCCAGAAATGTTAGAACTGTTGAGCAATAACATGTCCAGAATGCCTATACCATGCTTGATTGTATTTATTTTAGTTTTCCTGCTGAGCTTTTCCTGATACCTCAAAGCCTTTGTTTATTCTAAGAAGCATCCTGTGTGTCTAGGCCTGTGTACTGGTATCAGTACTACTGCCTGGAATACTAGGCCAGTTCCAGGAAAACTGCTTAGGGCATCCATCCAAATTTCCTTATACACAGTGCTAAGGGAGGCAGTCTTTGACTGCTAATGGAAGGATTGTAGTAATCTGGTTCCACCAGAGGACTGAGATCGTGAGACGCTCTGTTGCACCTTAAGTGAGGTACAAAAGGAAAAAGGAACATTGATTTGTTCTGGATGTGTGTACAGAGTAAAGCAGAAAGTCTCACTGATGTGATTTGTCTACTTATTCCTGACCCATGGCAGACACTGCATCAGGAGAGTAAAAGGTACAGCAAATCATGGTTTATTTTATTTTTTTTTCATACACATGCTTGGTTTGCTATATGCTACAGACTGAACTAATCACTGTAAGTGATAAGGGACTATTAATGTACTCGTGTTACGTAAAACAGATGCAGATGTACCTAGCATTTCAGGCTGTTCAGTGTTTCAGACAGGTGTAGGGGAAAAACATATTCAGTTTGCTCAAACCATTTCTGAAAGAGAAAGTGGTGTTAATATCTGTACTACATCTAATATGAATAATATTGCTGAAAAGCTAATAATGCAAACAACCAATTAAATATGAAGTGCAAAGAAATAAAAAAGTATGAGGAAAAGGTTTGTATCTGTATTGCAGCACACCATTAAGATTCAAAGCCTACTGCACACATTTTGTTGGTAAAGTTATGCTTTTTATAACCAGGAATGGTTTTTCATGATATAAAGTGAGTTGTCTCTAAGACTTCACATTACCACAAAATCTCTTCATAACCTCTAACATTTCAGTACAGAGATTTTAGTTTTTACCTGTATTAAAAATATTCTGTTCCAAATGACTGACTATATTTCTACCACAGCAGGCAAAATTGTGAGAAATAAAAATAATTTAACCTCTGATAATTAAAAGATGTGATTTTCCTCTTACCTCTGCTTTCATATATGGACAAACAACTGGATTTATGAATTCAGAAGTAAAATTTTTAATAAGTACTCATAAATACTAATTGATCAGAACTTTTTTAAGTTATCAAAAAGATCTGATTAAATTATCATATTCTATACAATGATCACACCTGGTTATTTCATTCATAAAATGTGATGTAGATTAGATTACTAATTACGTTTATTTTTCCCAGTTTTCCTGTCTTTTTCATCCTGCATGATACACTCATGGTGATTGCTGTATGCAAATTCCTAGCACAGCTGCACTGAAGGTGATTCAAAGTTGTTTTACTGACCTCAGCAACAACTTTATCAGGTCCTTGCCCTCTCTGATCTTGTCTTCATCACATTGAAGGGCTAAGAAATTATTTTAATGTAATAGTGACCCTATAGAATTGGTGTGAGTCTTCTCTTATAGCTGTGCCAGTGCTAACCCTGCTCTACATTTATATATTTACGTTTATATATTTACAGAGATACTACATGTATATATATATATTCTCAGAAGCTGCTCTTGTGTTATTTTCACAAGCACCACATGACTTTCAGGTGCAATTTTGCGAAAAAAATCCTTTGTTCATGTAAACATGAAAAAGTTATAATTGTCATAGAATCATGGAATCGTGTTGGAAAAGACCTTTAAGGCCATCGAGGCCAACCGTAATCAATTGAATTTCTTTTTCAAGTCTTCAGTTCAATGTGACCATTTTAAAAATTCGTTTTCCCTTTTTATTTTAGGAGATTTTAAGTTCTGGAGGTTATTGTAACTCCTTACTAAACATCAGACAGGAATAGATCTCAGAACAGCTCCCTTTTCTTGTCGGTACCAAGCATACAACTAAGCATGTGTGGAAAAGAGGGTGTCCTCTAATGAGCAGTAAAGTCTAAGAAACATTAATAAACCTAATTAAATTAGTGCATGTAGTATAGAATTAACCTTGTACAGTGAAACTGGTCCTTCAGAGAAGATTTTTTCACGAATAACGATGTCATTGGCTTTGCATTTGCTGTAGTGTTTTTAACAACTGATGCACATTTTATGTACCATAACAAGTTACGAGTTGTGCAATGGGAGATGAGAACTTGACAAGTTCTGTAAGTTGTGATATTAAGGTTATCTTTATATATATACTTGGCTTTTTCTGTCATCATTTCATTTCTGTCATCATATGGCATGATGTAGCCATATCCAAAGTCTCCAACTGATGTGTTATGGAAATATTAGGAGTCCCTAATGTGAAATGATTGACCATGCCATTGTATAAATGTGGCTCATTCCAAATAGATTCAGTAGCCAATTAGATTACATGCAATGATGGAAGTGGTGCTAATAGTCTCGCATGTTTTCCCTATACTTCTTCTCCATCACCCTTTATTGATGTATCTTCTGAATTCTCCCTTCATTTTCTTTCAACAAAGGCAAGTATGCCATGAGGGATCTGGTCCACCGACTGCCAGGCGCTAACAACAGCAACAGCTCAGCAAGCAAGGCCATGTCTGATGACACCGTTACTGCCATTTGCTGCACTCTGCATGAAGTCATCACTAAAAACATGGAGAATGCCAAGGCCTTACGAGACGCAGGCGGCATTGAGAAACTGGTTGGCATATCTAAGAGTAAAGGAGACAAGTATGTTTTGCAAATCCCCTTGCACTTTTTTAACATCTCCAGTAGTTATTACTAGTCCTGAATGTGTTTGCCTCCTCTATGCAATCATGAGTCGAATTCTTTAGTTTCATCAGAAATCGTATGCCCAGTAAGAAAGGTGACAAGAAACAGACAATACCAATAGCAGAGGTCTCTGCTGTGGTTTATTTTTGACGTACCATCGGTAGTGCGTGGAGTGCACTGCCTGTGCAGTTTAAGGAGGAGTAATTATCTACAGTAACTACTGCCTCTGGGCAGAAGATCCTGAACAGCATTAGAGACCAAAGCTGTTGGATTGCACCCCACAGAAGGTGTAACATGCAGGTGGAGGGATCCTGTGAAAGGACCTTACCACAGTTCTGTTACCGCTTCTCTTGCTCTGGGAGTGAAGAATACAAAATCACTGTCCGTTTTCACAGCACCCTTTTCTGGGCCACCAGCCTGCTCATAAGGTGGGGCATAGTGCAAAAATGGATTCAGTGATTTTCCTAACACCTTTCTTCTGAGAGAGCATTAGGATACCTACAGGCTACTTTGTGAGGCACCAAAACATGCACAAATCTTACATGTGACAATGATATTGTCAGAGAAGCTATGGTTTCATCTTGTCTGTTTTCCTCTGTATGCAGCCTACATGTAAGAGTTCACCCTTTATCCTTCTTTTGCCTAAACCAGCCTGGTTCTCCTATTTGTCAGCCTGCAGAAGTATAGTGCAGTAGGACTATGGCAGTTTGAAAACAAAAAGCCTTCACAGTAGTGTACAAAACCCATCAGTCCACCTACTTGAAGCTGTCATCCCACAGCCTGTTGCAGCAGTAGAGCTCTAAAAGAGCTTCACAAAGCCAGGCAACACCCTGAAGGAAAGATTTATGCACCCTACATTTGGTATGAGAACTTCTGTTCGCCTATGTGATTGAACGTTGCCAAGATAATGTAGTCACATTTCTTTTCCTCTGTTGTCACCCTTTTCATACCAAGTTCATTACTGAAACATTATTACATTCTAATTGTAAGGGGTAAAAAGTAGTAGTGTAACAAAGTATGTGATACCAGTTGTGCCAATTTGTTTCTATTTGCATTTTTTATTATTATTAAATGTATTTAAAACTTTGTTTTACATTTTGTAGATCAGATGTAGCAATATTGCAAACAGGTTAATATCCATTTTACTGAAGTTGAATGTGTCTTTTCTCATAATAATGCATTTGCATTCCTGTTCATTGTCTGGTAGAGATTATTAATACTCATTAAGTCTTGACTTTTCAAAGTCTTAGGGGATCCAGAGGTATAATTCCCTAAGTATCCCTCATAACTGTGAAAGCTCTATCAGTGCTGAATGAAAGTATTTAGCCCAGATAGTGTTGACTAATTCCAAAATGCCTTCCTAAATGATGATAGGTATCCTTCCTCTCAAGTACTTCTGAGTTGCAGTTCTGTGTTATTACTGTTACGTGTTAACACAGCTCTAGAACAAGAAAACCTGTCAACTCACAGTGCTACAAATGCCTATCTTGATCAAACGTTCCATTTCCCAGCTTTCACAAATGTTAGTATCATGCACTATTGCTTTGGTTTGGTTTCTCACAGGTAATCCATTGTTCAAAAATCAGAACTGCTGTTTGTTGGACTGATAGGAAATTCTGGCATTATAGTAAAACACTCCAGTATGAATTTATCTTGTCCAGTATGAAGCAGCTGATTCTACAAGTGCACGGTACTAGACTGGATGCATCCTTGTATATATCAGTGCCAGGAGTGTGGGGCTGGCCCCACTAGCTTTTGGAACATTCCCAGGGCTTGAGCACTTCCCCTGTATAACAGCATGAGGGAACTGGTGTTCATAAGGTCATAGTGGCCAAGCCCATATTGGCTTCTTACAGTTCCTGTTTCTCCTCAGTACTCACAGTATGATTGGCACAGTTATTTTCCTAGTTGTTCCATGCTACCAGCACCCCATGAGCCAGCACAGCTGGGAGTGTAATAAGAACAATTTTGTTTGAAAGGGTTTATCAAATTCCTGTTTATTCCCCAGTTACCCACCTACTGCTGTACTCTGGCTGAGAAATTGATAAAAAGGGGAGGAAAAAAAAGTCACCAAATAAATTCCTAGGAAAACACTGTTGTGTGAATGAGTTGTGTCATGAACATTGCTTGACCAGCTTGAGTGCCAGTCTACCAGTGGTCCTCTCAGAAGTCACAGGACGCACCAAAGCCTGACCCCTGAGAAGACTTCCTGCCCAAACCAGTTAACATAAACTTCTGGTTTTCTGGTTTCTCTTTGATTTTGCAGTCTATGTGCCTTTTCTGAGTAAAATATGAATCATCTCAATGACTGCCCATCAATCCTCACTGCAGGCTTAGAGCTTTGCAAGATTTTCTAGCACTCTGCTGCTTTAAGTGTATTATTAGTACAGCACAGTGTTTGCTTCCTCAATGAGCTGGGTTATCTTCCTAGTCCTTTTCTGTTTGACCTTTCTCCACTGAGCTGAATACTCCCTGGTTTTTGAATTTGAGGGGGTTTAGATTTTTTTTGAAGTTACTTATCCCAGGAGGAGTGTATGACTCCAACGTATTGTAACAATAGTTTAGAGATTCTTTTGAAACCTTTCTGAAGGGAAGGCCCATGTGAAGTTATGGTTTTCAACTTGACACTGTATTGCTGTCATTAAAGGCTAATAGTGTGAGCAAGAAGCAAGTCCTAATTTGGATTCCAAATGAAACTTGTGTTGACTTTTTATAAACAGCTGTATTTCTGCATCTTACCTCTGCACTTCAAGAACAGTGCTCATCACCCACCCAGAGTGTTTCTTTTGGCCACTGCTAAGAGGCATTTAATGCATTAAGCATGATGTCAAGAGTTAAACTTTGGCACCTTATAGAGAAAGAAACTCTGGCTCTAACTTCTTGTCCTTTGTGCCAAAAGTTGTAGCCAGGACATCTTAGATGTACATAATACCAGTTGGGTACTTAACAATTTTGCCAGTTGCTACCTCTCCCATTCCTCCTACTATGCTTTAAGGATGAATTCTTGTTCTCAGTGTGCTGAGGAACACACATTTTGCTCCTCACTGAATAATTAGCACTGTAGAAATAACATGTATTGCCCTTGCTTAAAAACACATTGGCCTCCAAGACACCAGCCAATTGTGGCACATTTGAAACACATTTTAAATGAGGGTTTAAATCCATAGCAATGCATTTGAAAATTGGGATGAATGGAGTCTTGTATTTAACAGTCTCTTTCTCACTCTTTCTTTCTCTCTCTTCCTTTTTGACATATGTGCGTAACAGGCATTCGCCGAAAGTGGTGAAAGCAGCATCTCAGGTCCTCAATAGTATGTGGCAGTACAGAGACCTGAGAAGTCTCTACAAGAAGGTAAGGCTTCGGTTATTTCTAGTTTTATTATCTTTCATATGGTTGCCCAAAAACTTAAGATCAAATGATTTATGTGACTGAAAATTCACCTAAAGTTTCAGATATTTGGAGCTATGTTCCAGTATACTCGGAGCCTCATTTCTACTCTTAACATAGAAATACCTTTTGAAAATACATGTGGTGATGAAAAGGGGATATGAATTTGTTTTTCAAAATAATTCATACAAAAATTGCTGAATCTGACAGCCCTGGAGAGTGACGTCATAGAACAAACCTGTGCGAGCTCTCCTGCTGAAGCTTTCCTTCTTACACCTTGCCACCCTGTCCTGAGGAAGTTACCAGACTTCCAGCCCTTCAGCTTCAAAATTTCCTCATGAGATTGTAAACAAGAGTATCTGAATGTGTGGTGCTTAGGGACCAGTTACATGTGGAGCTGGGCTGAAACTTGATAGCTTCACTTCCAATCAGCTGGCAGACAGTAGCATCATATACTTGGTTTTCAGACAGTCTATGGAGTCTTCAGTACCGTACTGTTCCCACGGTCCTGCTAACCTCTTAAAAATTAATTGCAATATGGTAATACAGTCCTGTGAAATAACATCCTATATAGCTTTTGGAACATCAGGGTCTACTTAGTAAATGATAACATTTAAATTAATTCTTGCTGAAGATTTTCAGACTGAATTACATTCCATGTGAATATCAGCCTTCAGATTTAGTTCTCAAAGGTCTTCTTGCTACAATGGAATTTTGCAGCTTAATTCACTGATATTTGTACTTGTAATCTTAGCAAAGAGAGCTAAGACTTCCTGTGGCACAGAAGTTCAGGTCCTAGTTAAGGTTAAGGCATAAGAATAGTGAAGTAGGGAAGGTTTACAGTGGCATAATCTGGGTTGTATGTGTTTTGCACAAGAAACGAACATAATTACATGAAACTTATGCACCAAATCTCAAAATGATAGACGCTGACCTGTTTAAAAAGCTGTTCTTTTGCATGCCTCAGCCCTGCTTTTGTCAAGTCTCAGGAGTAAGGAAGATGGTTATTGAGTCTCTCCCATTGTTCACTTCCAGTATTTTAGTCATCCTTGGCAGCCCTAGGGATACCATATGCGATGATGTTCTGAGTAACAGCCTTTTACTCAACTGTCCCATTAAGAAGTGGGAACAAACATGAGCTAGAGTAGTCTTTTCTTGATGGAAGGCAGTAACACGCTGGAAGTGCACATAGCCCAACTTCTGTGCATGTGGGTGGCTGCACTGTAGAGGCTGAACTTCATTGCACTGTAATCTTTCAGAGATTCTTACAATGTCTGGCTCATTTCCAGCCTTCTGTCTGTATATATACATGCTGTGATGGAAAAGCAGTTTCTGGGGTTGCTCCGCACATAAGGTAATCTATATGCTGTATGGCTTCTGAGTGTACATACTGCTATGTAAAGGACATTCAGTTGGCTGCCAACGTGAATGCCTGGTAATGTACTTACATACTAAGCATGCTTTGGTACTCAGTACATTGCATGCTTAAAAGAACATATCCTGCAACCACAAATACATACCTGTGGTATGGAAAATAGGGTCAGCTAGCCTTTGAGGTAGTTTCCAGGAATCTCATAGCAGACGCTGTCTGTATTCTTATGAAGTATTTTATTGATCTCTATACTGGTTAATTCCTACAGGCTTCACAAATTCTTAAAATGAAGGTCAGTCTCTGCTAAATATTTTTATCCTCATTACATATGCTGCACGCTCCTGTTTTTTAGAAGACATACAGTAATCTTTATAAAGTTATAATATTTATTAAACTTGCCTGCAGTAGGCTGGCTGTCTGAGTTTCACCACTGTTGCGGAAACAATGTTTTTATGAAAGGAAAATTATAAAAGTTTGCATTAATCTATGTAATACAAAGATATTGGGTCAATGCAGTCTTTATTTTGTCCCATTAAAATGCATACGCTAATAAAAACAGGTGAACATACATTTGACAGCGTAATATGGTCATCACTTTGCACCTGCACCGCCTTTTTTGAAGTGCAGGTAAATCCCAGTGCATAACCATCAGCAATTTCTTCCTGTGTACTAAAGTATCTATACAATTACTTCCAAACAGTTGGTGGCCTACAGAGAGGCACAGTTCTGTACTGTAATACAAGGAAATTGCAAGCATCGCATCACACTTAAGAAAAAGCAGCAGCACTTACCTGACTGTTTGAGAAACAGTGTAACCAAGTAGTTTGAGTTGTGTATTTCAGAGCTATATGTTTACAGTACAGTAAGTAAGAAGAGGTAAAAAGAAGTATTATCATTTGTATTAATGGGGAAAGAAGGCAATATGTTTACTGCAGATGCAGTAGTAGTCAGTATATTTAGTCCAACTATGACTGCATCAGCAAAAACATGAAACCTCTTTCACTGCCTAATTTTGCTCAACAGAAGAGGAATCATCCCATAACTGGCAGAATATGAACTGCACTGACAGAAAGTTCATCCAGAGTTGGGGATTGGTATGGTCACCTAATGACATGCCAAACCTGTAGAGTACCAGAAGCCGTGAAGTGCACTGGTACCAATTCCCTCTTGCAGCAATCCCTGATAAATTTCTGGCTTGGAAGTTAAGTGTAGGAGTCAAAAACTAGCCCTCTATCTGATAACCAGTAGCAGGGCTGCCCTAAGCAGGGTATGTGCAATAAAAGCTTCCTGCAAGCCTCCAGTCCCATCATGCATGAGCAAGCTTTTCAGCTGTAACATTAATATGCCTATGTAATGAAACCTAAATGAAGCTGCTTCTGAGGACAATGTCAGAATCAGCTGTGGCATGAAAAATAGTCCAAATTTCAGGGGTTTCAGGCTGCCAGCTTCAACTGTGCTGCTTAAGAAGAATAGTAGTGTTCACAAATTTCTTTGTGCCACTCAGTGTCTGACAGACATTGCCTGTTTCTCTGGGCCATTAAAAGCCAAAAAGTGCAGCAGCAACTACAACAACTCAATTAACTTCATTGACCAAATCAGGCAATATACCCTGTCTGAAGGTCATAGCGCAACTAAGAATCCAAGCAGTATTTTGGCAACACAGAATTTTAAGGTCCTGTCCATCTCTTTTATCCTGAAAAATGCAAAATTACTCCACAAGTCAGTGAGATGGGAAGCACAGAAAATTAAATCTAGTAAGTCAGGTTAGGCTAGAGAGATGTTTCTGCAAAAAGAGTTTCAGGCTAGCCCACATACTGTGTTTAAACAGAAAGGCAGAGCAGGTGGACAGAATAAACTTTGCAAGCAATGTAGCTTTGACAGTCCAGAGCTCAGAGTTCTGGTACCCAGAAGCTTCTCTGCAATGGGCTTGATCCTGCTTCCAGTGAAAGCAATGAGAAGGCCCTATTGATTTCAGAGGTCTTTTCTCTAAGGTACCAAAAGCGAGAGCTGAAGCTTTTGCAGTCAGTTGAATTTAGCGGGGAGACAGGCTAACTAATCTGCAGCATCCAGTGTGTCCTGGAATTCCCAAGGTCCTATAAAAACAAGGATTGAAGGTTTATATATGGCTTTCAGTTAGCTGAAGCAGAAACATTGTGTCCATTTATTAACAGCTACTACAAGAGGAGTTGCACTCTTTGGTCTCTCTTGTCTGGTAGGTTTTTTATTCTCTGAAAAGCATGCACAGGTAGAGACTGTAGCTTTTCTGGCTTAGGAGAATAATGGATAGATTTCTAACTTCCCACAGCCTGGGCTGCATGCTCAAGGAGGAGGAGGTATTGGCTTTGTTGTCTCAGTTTTCACTTGGAAAGCTCTGTAAGCCCATAATATCTTATGTACAGTGCTTGCAGAGCTGTGTCACACACACCCTGTACCCTCTGCTGACAGGTTCTATCCAGTGTACTGGGATTTCCAGTTCATACCTGTGCTGTGGTTTTAGGGGGACACTTAGACTTGTTAGGTGGGGCTGGAATGGAGAAGACACAGAAAGTGAAACAGTCAGCATTCAGATCCACGAGTGAGGTGACAGTGTTTACCATTCTTTATAGGCTGGGGCTTTGGGGAAAAATAAGATTATTTTAGTCCCTGGTATGGTTAATTTGACACTATCCTAACACAGTCCAACAAGGAAAAGTTGTAAAATGCATAAAGGTTTCTGGTCCTAAAATTACAGGAAAAAAAACCATCTTGACAGTCCAAGAGGAAGCAACAAATTTGGTCTTGAGATGAAGGAGTTGCCATCCATCCTAGAAGTTTAACTCGCAGGTCCTTCATCAGGGAAGAGTTCACAGGAAATACTGCTCAGTTTTCCGAGCAATAGCTGAAACAGAAATCTAATCTCAGGAAAATCCCATGAAGAGGAAAATAAGGTTCAGTCTTATATAGACAACGTTTAGATTATTTAAGTGTGATGCATTTCCAGGTACTGCTAAAGCTTAGCAAGTAAAAAAAAAAAAAACAAGAGGTGATCATCACAGGTTTTCATCAGTAGATGAAATGTTGTCTCCCAAAGAGTGACTTTAATGTCATGTTATTTTCAAACATCTTTGTTCTCTACAAATAAGACTTTTAGTTTCATAAATTTATCCACCTCTGTTTTCTGAAGTCTATTCTGAAATACTTAAAATTTGATTTTCAAAAGTGCTTAATAGTCACATGCTCTGTAGCCCTGTGGGTGGCTCAGCACTTGAGAAGAACTAGGTAGAGGAGCTATTATGTTTATCCCCGTGCTTCAGACTCACAGTGTACCCTTCTTCAAGTATCTTGGTAACCTGTACAGCCAGCAGGAGAATTAAGTGCTGCTTACAGCCTTGAAAGAGAGGTCCTGTCCCATTTATGTTTAGCCACCTAAACAAGGTGAAAGGAGCTACTATGGTGATTCTTTACAAGATGCCTATTTCCATGTCAGGAACACTGGATCCTACTCCAGTCTTTAGGGAATTAGCTGACTGAAGATTCAGGTACAACTTGGAAAATACAGGTGTGACTGTAAGAAAACAGATTTCCGTTAGCTGGTAAACTCTTACCTATGTCAATTTTCCAGACAATAACCAACTACTCTTATACACAAATGGCTTGTTAAATTGCATGAGGAAATTTGAGCAAAAGGGTTGTGCTAAATGAACTTAACATGAAAAAAAAATATTTAAAAAGCTTCAATTAGCATTAAGTGTGTATAATATTAAAGAGCTGGAGGAACTGTCAAGAAGAACATTTTCTATTTGTTGATTTGTTTTGCCTAATCACTTAGGCTCCATCAAAATACGTTCACATTCTGTCATTATGTTTGCACTTACACCATCTTCCAGTATATACGTAGAGATCACAATGAATTTATAGAAAATATTTTTCTTCCCCATTTGTTATCGTAGGTTTCTGTTCTGCATGGAATAATATAAATGCTTGTCCTGTTCACCTGCCATATGAATAAGAATACAACCAATTATTTGAAACTAGCGAGGCTGTTCAGGTTGGCCATCCTTCAGCATGTAGTGTGCCATTTACAACAGGGATACTATTGCAATAGGCGTTTAATGAAGTCAGAGTAGTCACTCTGAAGATGGCCTTGTCTGTCATTGGCTGGAAAAAATGCTTAAAATTGCCTGAAGCCTTAGGAGCAGTTAAGCCAGTCCTGATCTAGAAAAGGACTCTTTTTTCATGTGACTTTCAGAATAATAAAATGGTGACTCTGTGAAAAGGTCCATTATGGCTAAATGTTCCATGAAAATTGACAGCAATAAACTTCAAAACTGTAGACAAGGAGGTTTAGAATCTAAAGTCCTTTCTTAAGCAAAATATAAATGCCTTTTAAAAATGTTAATTACACAGTGCTATCTCGTAGACTTGGAATGCATCATTTGGATTTTCTTCAGTTAAGGTTGTAGTCAGTCAGATGTCCCCCCCCAAAAGATGATAGTTTAGGGTGAAATTAGCTAGTGAAAGTGTCTGTGCAGAACTTAAACCCTACATTAAGAATCTAAATTCCAAATCCATAACGTAATAACTCCTAAAAAAAGTGGCTTGACTTGAAGGAACTATTCATGTGCTCAAATTGTTTGTGAGAATATGTCTTTTGCAGTGCTGATCTTTCAGCAGGGCTTGATTTATTTCGTACGACTGGCAGGAGACTTTTTCAGATTAACATGTCACCCTTTTATAAAAGGGATGGATTAATTTAAAGTAAACTCCCCACTGTAATAGCAAGCTAGATTATCATCAGAGAGAAGGCATTGTCTAGAGCCCATTTTTATATTAACTATGAAAATGCAAGTACCTGATTAATAAATGATTGACTGATTGATTGATTTATGGCAGTGGGCGGCCCCAAGCTTCAGTGTGGCTGATGACAGAGGATTTTCACCAACCCACCACTCTGGGTCATGGCACGCTCAGCATACTCTCTCCCAGAGCCAAGAAACCAGAATCTATTCCCCAACCCAGGTATTCTGGATGTCAGATGACCAGTGTTGAATTGTTATGTTTCATCCATACTGAGATTTGTACCCAAAAAAGTTCTACAGAAGACATTTGAATCAAAAGGATCAAAGCCTTATTAAAGAATGTATTTTTAAATTATACTGTAGATTATTGCTTCACTTAGGAGAGTAGCCCCATTCATTTCAGCTGTGTGAGGAAGGTGTGCAGAGTTTTGCTCTCTCTGAGGACAGCATATACCAGTGAGGGGGACAAGTGCATTACATTAAGTTCCCTGACAAGCTTTATAGCATTTCTGTAGTCTCTTTTTTTGATTGCCTGAACTTTTCAAACAGAAAGGCAGTTATTGATAAGCCCTATGTTGCAATAGCAGGTTAAATTTATCAAACACTTAACTTACCTTTTCTGTCCCAGTGACATCTGTAAGAAAGAATCAATAGCTGCATATTTCAGTAAAAGGATCCCAGGTAAATTAGGATATCTATAGAAAAACGAGTGTGTCCATGAGTGAATTAAATTCATAAAATGCTAATTTTCAAAATAACTGTTAATAAGAACAGTGGAGATTTCCTCAGGCATAAATACAGTTGATGAGAATTAGCACAACTGGGCACTGTTTAATTTTCAGTACTAAAATTTCATTTCCTTAACCAACTACAGTCTTTTGGTTTGCTCCCCCTATATTTTTTTCATAATAAAATATGATTCTGTGTCATTATTGCAAAAAAACAAAATACCTTCTACATATGCACCACATTCAAGTAAATTCTTGGACAAACCTTTTAGTATATTTATATGTATGTCTGTGTATTATTTCTGTTAAAATAGTTAGAGAAAATAGGACTTCACACATTTTTGCTGATCACAAAGGACGTAGTAGCTATGCTTTTTTTGGAGGGTTTTTTCTACTAATTTTGCCTGGAAGAGGGAAGACATCAGAGGAGATCTCATTTAAATACTTTAGACATAAATATCTGTCAAGGTTAGCATAAATCCCTTTAATCTTTAGCTAACAGGAATATGATACTTAAAATGTGCAGCATCTCACCATCTGATATATGACATTGCTTAGTTTAGTTAATCAGGAATTAAGCAAATTCCTAAATTGATTTTAAATAAAGGAAATGTGGAAATTTGCTGTGGAATTACAATATTCACGCCTTTCTAAAGCATCATCTGAGTAATTTTAGAAGATGCAGATTCATTACCCAAAAAGTGAAAAAAATTGCCATCTTCAAATATATACTTCCATTTTTCATTTCTGTTTCAGTTTTTCTTGCCTCTAAACATGTTATTTGCATTTAAGCGAGCATTTTAAATGGGGCTTTTTATCAGACAGCAGTCTTATTAAATACTTAATCATGAAATTGTCATTGGCTTCGGTACTGGGAAAAAAGTTGGAATTACTGCTTTTTCTGTGTGTATGTTGAGTTAGTATTAATGCTATATTTTATGCTGTATATTAGTTTCCAGTGTTCATATAAGATACGTTTACCTTTCCCTCTGCCCATGCAAATATGAAGTATTTCTTCATTAAAGCAAAGGCATATTTTCTGTTCTGCAAGAAATAATAGCTAGTAGCTGCAGACCAAAGAAAAATCTGTTGATCTTGATCTGTTGATCTGGAATTTAGATTTTCTTTTTACCTCAGTGCTGTTTTTTTTCACTATAATTAGCACTAGGCAGCATCACTGTATCAACTTACCATTTAACTTATTTCCTCTTTTGACTGTGTATGCCTTCCCAGGATTGTTTTTTTTAAGAATCATACAAAACTTTCCCAAGTACATTTGAACATTTGTGGCTCTTTCTTTGCCCCTTGTCTCCTTAAATAATATCCTGTTTGCCTATCTACATATCATGACTGAATCATGAAGCCTTAAGAGGGAAATAGTGCAAAGAAATTGAGCTGAGCTGTACAGGTAGAAACTGGCATATGGTGAAGCATTCAGGAGTATTCACACATGGAAAAACTGGTGTATAAAGTGTGCTTGACTTTTTAAAAGAAAAGAGTGAGGGCGGGGAGAGAAATTCTCAGTATTTGGCAAAACACAAATCCATTCAGTGTCTTCACCTAGCGGTATTATCACTATAAATCATTTGGCTAGTTTTTAAGAGGAAGAATTAAGAAAAATAAAGGACAAAAATGTATCTAAAATATTAAAAAATCTAAGTCAAAATGTTGTTTTGATTTTATTTTAATGCAGATAATTATAATTTCAGTTGTGCTGTCGAGTAGGTCATGTTCTGATTTTCCTAGCTTATCCATCATATGAAGTAATATCTTTCCTAGCTCCTTCTAACCCCCTTTGAGTATAACAGTATCAGACAGTACTATAAAGAGAAGGGATTGCCATTTTGTTGTTGCAATGTTTTTTACATTTTACTTGGCCTAAAGAGGACAGAAAATCTTTTGGGATCCAAAATGTTGATGTTCTTCCCTGTATGACAGTTACAACACATATTGGAATACCTAAATTTGTGTTTCTGCAACAATTATTAGAGGGAGATGTTTTCAAATGTTCTAGGCTTCTGAATGCCATCATTTACTGTGTCATAGACTTCATTTATTTTGAACATTTTGCATTTTACATAGTTAAAATTGTGATAGTCTCAAAGGCTTATTTGCTATGCAATATCACCTAGCATTCCCTTAGTTGTGTTTCAGTTATTTCTGTATTTATATGTTTCTTTCTAATATTTTTTCTGTGTTTACTATGGTATTTAAAATATTAGCAGTAATCTAAAATACAGTCTGTGATGAACTGAAGACTCAATACTGCTAATAGTATTTTCATGAAAACAATCTAGTGTAGCTGAAGCCAAACCTTGTCCATACTTACACTGTTTTGGTGTGGGCTTTCTTACTGAACGGTATCCAGAAAAATCAGATACGATGACTAAGCACAATTAAAGCCAAAGTAATGGCTTGCTTTTTGGTGTGGGTTTTTTGGGGGGGTCTGGGTTTGTTTTTTTTTTTCCACTCCTTGCAAATACCTGTATGGTTGTGGAATGACAGACCTGCACTTTTGCTGGTAAATATATATATCTGCTTACATGTATATACAAGTGGGGGGTGCATGTAAAACTACACAGCATGAACATAGAAGATGCTGCCTTTCAGCATGATGTCTGAACAAAGAGAGCTTAGGAATACATAAAGGAATAAACCTTAATGGCTTGAGCTATGAGCTTAGAAGATTATCTGCAGCTGTGCTTGACTGTTGCTTTTCCCATGAGGGCCTTAAAGGCATGATAGTACTTTCCTTTAATACTGAGCGCTGTAGTGAGTGGTAATTCAGCAACCAAACTTAGCAGTTACTCTTCTAAATTATCAGTAACAACTGCATGGAAGCTGACACCATTCTAATCCAAAACCTGTTAGAGCTAGACTCAAGAGGTGCTAAACAAATAAGAAAAGAATGCAAGTTTGTCCATATATTTCTCTAGAATGATCCATACATATATGCGATGCTAAGGCATCTGCAGTATTGATAGTGTCTCATGGTAATCTCTAGATGACTTATGTGGGAATGACTAGGTATTGTTCACTTCAAAACACAAGTCTATTTTTAAGGTTACTAAGTACAGATTTAGAAGAGAGATGTTTAATCTCCTAGTTGTGTAAAGTCTGTCTCCAGAGTACGCTACCCTTTGAACTTCTCTGAAGAAAAGAAAACTTGAAATGCAGCCCAGGAGTCAGTGTCTTTGACTTGGAACCTTCTGAAGGGAATTGTGTAACTGAAGTTTCTGAAATATCCTTAGGGTAGAGGTACAAGTAGACAAACAGAATCTGGAGGGTTATGCATAAGTGGAAAGTCACATCTGCAAAATTTTTCTTCTCAAAAATACGGTTCCTCAGAAGAAGACTGGAATTTAATACTTGAATACAAAGGAGATAATAAGAACATTAACTGCATGTCTTTTAGGACATTTTTAGTCCACTTATATACTATATTAAATATTTTTAAACTATAAATAACATTAATTAATGGCAATCAGAATTTAGCTGGATTCAGATGTACAATACTGAAAAGAATCCAAAAGTTTTTCTAAAGACTTTAAAGTCTTTTAAAGGTACATGTTAAGAGAACCCATTTTTGATTTCTGTCAATCTTTTTCTCCAAAATCTGTTTAAGGAACATGACTTCTTACATTCAGAACAAAATAAGTTTTTTAATTAACTTGTATGCTTAATGTTTGCATATCTAGGTTTAGACACAGATAAAAGCATGTGTGAGGAAAGAGTATAGGTGAGAAACTCAGTTTCTTCCCACAAACCTTAACGGGTATGTTGGATGGATGCTTACAGTTTTGTAAATGAGTAAGATCAATAGAACTTTTACTAGTAGTAGCACTACAGAGGGGATGGAAATCAGATTGAATTTATTACTATGGCAATCAAAGCATATTTTCTTTTCAGAGGTAAATAGTCTAGCTATGATGGTCTGACATGTAACACTGGGCATCTGTTGCTGTGCTTATGCTATCATCATCCTCCTTCTTCTGGGTCCTGTAAGGAGGTTAAAAGTGTTTGTTTAGTTCGGCCAGTACATGTAAATTCAGTGAAAGTTCAGTGAATATTAAGCTGGTGCATCAATATCCTACTTCAGGTCATGAAGAACATCTTTTAATATTCTACATGATATAATAAAGGGTGGGGAAAAAATTGCTGGGAGGTTGTGGTTGTCCTTCTTGTTTCTTCCATCTTCATGTGCTAAAACTGCTAACAGAATTCAAGAATGGCCTAAATACGTCTGCTGTTTCAGTCTTGGAAGAAAGAAGCCCTGTATTTTGAAAGGAGTCTCTTTTGTAGTATATGCGCTTTGTTCTGAGGTTTTTTTACTTCATTTGCTAGCTGATACAGTATGTCTGGGTAAAAGATCTATAGCTTCTTCTTCCTAAGGAGGTAGAAATTAAGAGTTTCACAGGCAGTTTCTAAATTGTTTGTATTACTTTTAATGTAATGCAGTGCTTTTACAGAAAGTTGTGGTTTCCCTAGAGAG